TGTGCTGCGCAGCGCTCTGAGGCTGGCTGTGCCAAGCCCCACGTGCTGTTCTCTGCGTGCCAGCTGCCTCACGCCGTGTGCTGTGTGACACCGCGTGCCGCGTGCCGTGCGCCGTGTGCCATCCAACGTGTGCCATGCTCCGTGCGCCATGTGCCATGGGGCTTTTACCATGTGCCATGCACTGTGCCATTCATCATGTGCCATGTGCCACCATCCTGCCACCTGCAGATGCTCATGGGGAGGTGACATCTGCCTTGGGAGAGGGGGGGAACCCAAAAGCCACCATGGGGCTGCAGGTGTGGCCTGGGGCAGCAGTCGTGGGGCAGGAGCCACCCCAGATCCTGCTCCTTGTGCTCCCCCCCAGGGACACTGCTGTCACCTTGTCAGGGTGCTGGCACGGGGCTCCCAGCCCGGCCCCATCCACACGGCCGTGGCTGCACGGAGCTGCCCGTGCCCCTCTCCATGGGGCTGCTGTGGGGCTGCTGTGGGGCTGCCAGCTGCGGGCAGAGCGCGGTGCCCGCAGCGCCCCGATCAGTCGCGTATTTATAGCGCCTGAATCATCCCCCTATAAAGCAGGATAATGGACGTCACCATGGAAACCCAGCGCCTGATGAGGCTGCGGCTGCGTTCGGCCCTCAACGCAGGCAGGGGGTGCCCGGGCCCCCTCCAGCGCTGCCCCACTCACGCAGGGGCTGGGGGTGCCGGTGTCCCCAGGGGGGTCCCGCTGCCCGTCCCCGCTCAGCTGAGCCCTGCCCAGGCAGGGTGGGTGGTGGATGCCCTGCTGGTCCTCGCACCTCCCTGGAGCACTTTGCCATGCTGAGCGAGCAGGAGATGTTTAGTGCACGGGGTTAATTATTCACTTTTCCTGGATTTTACGAGCATTTTATAAGGCAATTGCCTGGAATGTATCGGGATGAGGCAGGGCCCATGGGCATGCTGCTGGGGGGGCATGAGCCCTCGGGGCAAAAAACCCACGAGGGGATGGGGCAGGTGGGTGCCAGCGGCTGCTCAGGGCACCGCGGGGCAGAGAGGGGCACGGGCGTGCACCGGGGCAGAGAGGGGCACCGCGGGGCTGGGACCCCGAGTTCTGCTGAAGATGACACCTGGCAGCCCGCCACGGCCCCCCCGACCGTCACCCACACCCAAGATAAGGTCCCTGGGGATGGGTTCCTGCCCTGATCTGTCCCTGATAACGCCTTCGCACTTCCTGGCACCCGGCACCACCAGCACGGCGCTGCCTGCCCCACACCCCTCATCCGGCATGGGAATTGCAATAAATATTTATTTTTTTCCTGAGCGGGGCTCTGCTCCCTGCTGGGCCGGAGGAAGGAGGGGGTCAGGGCCACCAAGGAGCAGGATGGCCCCGGGGACGGTGGCGGAAACATCCCCAGGACGAGGCACGGAGCAGCTGCTTCCTCCGGCCCCAAGGGTCTATAATTTATGGGGTCAGGGCCCCCCGGCCCTCACACCATGGCCCAGTGGACGCTGAGGTCAATGTCAGGCATTTCCTCCTGGTAGACGCGGTCGAAGAGGGCGTTTTGCAGCGGGGAGAAGTGGTCGCGCCAGTCCCCCACCACCCCTGCGGGATGGGAAGGGCTCGGTGGGACCGGGGCGCGGGGCCGACGCCGGCACCGACGCGCCCGGCACCCCCCGCGCCCCCTCACCTTTACGCATGAATTTCCCCTGGCTGTGGTCCATGATCTCGCGGGGGATGAGGGTGTAGTTGGTCATGGCGTTGTCCCGCATGGCCGAGAAGCTGCAGTGCTGCTCCAGGGCCTCCAACGTCTCCGGCCCCAGGGGGCAGCCCAGGAAGGTGCTGAGCCGCTGCGCCGTGCCCCGTAGGTCCTGTGGCACAAGGGGGGGGGTCAGACAGCGGGGCTGGGACACGGGGCTGGGGGACACGGGGACACAGGGCTCACCCGGTGCAGCTCCTCGTAGGTGATGTAGAAGATGTCCAGGAGCTGCCGCTGGCCCAGCCAGCCCTTGACGTGGTCGAACCAGGAGCCGTAGTGCACTGCGGGGAGCCTGGGGGTGATGCGAGCCCGTGGCCGGCCCCCCACCCTCGGAGTGCCCCCCACTCACACCCCTGGGCCCCCCCAGCCCTTACCGGTGCCCTCGAGGAACTGCTGGAGGAAGGCGTCGAAGGAGACGGGGTCGGGCAGGAATTTGGCCAGGCGGTGGAAGTAGTAGAAGGAGACGACGACGTCCTTGGGGTTCCTGGCCACGTAGATCACCTGGGGGGGGTTGGGGACACCGCTTTCAGCGCTGCGGCAGCGAGGGAGTTTCCAGGCTCTGTCCCCACCTCTCCGCTGCACCCTCAGAAAGTCCCTGCCAGCTGCCCCAGCCGGGGGAAGCCCCAGTGACATGGGGACCCCCCCCCTGCCTGCCCGGCTCCCCTCACCTTGGCCTTGCTCCCCTGCAGCAGGGGGGCCAGGACGCGGGCGGGCAGGTGGCTGGTGATGAGGCGGTGCGTGGCCGTGTCCCGCAGCGCGCCCCTGAAGTGGATCTGCTCCAGCCAGGGCGCCCGCTCCCAGTTGGGGATGGTCTTGGCCGGCAGCGCGTCCCCGCGGCTGTACAGCAGCGTCAGGATCTCCTGCATCCACGTGGTGCCTGGGGAAGGGGGCGTCAGGGCACTGCCACCCCGCATGGGCACCGCCATGCACAATGCCACGGCATGGCATGGCACGGGATGGCATTGCATGGCTTGATATAGCATGGCACAGCATGGCACAGCATGGCACGGCATGGCACAGCATGGCACAGCATGGCATGGCACGGCACAGTGTGGCACAACATGGCACAGTGTGGCACAACATTGCACAGCGTGGCACAGGATGGCACAGCGTGGCACGGCACAGCATGGCACAGCATGGCATGGCACGGCACAGTGTGGCACAACATGGCACAGTGTGGCACAACATTGCACAGCGTGGCACAGGATGGCACAGGGTGGCACAGCGTGGCACGGCACAGCATGGCACAGCATGGCATGGCACGGCACAGTGTGGCACAGCATGGTACAGTGTGGCACAGCATGGCAGAGCATGGCACAGCATGGCACAGCATGGCACAGCATGGCACGGCACAGTGTGGCACAGCATGGCACGGCACAGCATGGCACAGTGTGGCACAGGATGGCACAACATGGCACAGCGTGGCACGGCATGGCACGGCACTCCATGGCTTGACTTGGCACGGCACAGCACGGTGACGTGTGCCACGTAACGGCCATAGCACGGCTCAGCACAGCTCAGCACTGCGTGGCTCATGGCACGGCGCAGAGCGAGGTGGCGCAGGGCAGCAGCAGCAGCGTGGGACCACTGCCCCACCGAGCCCCTGCAGCCGTAACCCCCCCGGGGATGGGGATGGGTTTGGGGATGGGGACGGGGCTGGGGACAGGGACAGGAATGGGGTTGGGGCTGTGGACACAGCGGGGGTAGGTGTGGGGTGCCCGCCTCCACCCCACGGAGCAGTGGGGCTGAGCCCCCTGACATGGGGCTGGGGGGGCTGTGCTGGGGGAAGGGGGAGGCAGTGGCTGTGCAGGGCAGGGGGCACCGAGCCCTCTGGGGCTGGCTGAGGGCCCGGCCACATTCCAGCCACGTTGGCAGCACCAGGGCCTGCCGCGAGCAGGGGCTGCACGGCAGAGCTCCCCCCATCCCCATCCCCATCCCCATCCCGTCCCATCCCCATCCCCATCCCCATCCCATCCCATCCCCATCCCCATCCCTCCGCCCTGGGGGTCCCCATGGCCGTCCCCGCACCCCATCCCTGTCCCCCCCTCCCCGACACCTCTCACCTGATTTGGGGTAGGTGACGATGACCACGTCGGTGTCGCGGAAGGGGAAGGTGGTGGCAAACTGCAGGGACTCCTTGGTGTGGAGGTGCCCGGGCAGGGCGAATGCCAGCGAAGGTTTCCGTCACCTCCAGCCTCTCCATGGCCCGGCCGCGCGGGACGTGCTGGGGACAGCCCTTAAATAGCTGCAGAAGAGGAAGCCAGACCCGGCGGGTGCAGGGCGTGGGGCTGGGCCCCCCCCGGCACATTCCTGGCAGGGGGCCGGGGGCGGTGGCGGGGGCCGGCGAGGGGGGGAAAGCTGCCGCGGGGCTGGGGGCTGCGGGGCCATCCCCAGGTTGGGGCCACGCTTGGGGGGACACGCAGCCGGACCCAGCTGGGGATGTGGGGGGAGTTTGGAGGGGCTGAGAGCCCCCCAGCGGGGTCAGGGGTGCTCAGGGCCCTCGCTGGCACAGACGGTGAGCCACGTGCCGTGGGGTGCCAGCCCCACACCGTGCCCCACACCATGCAGGCCTCGGTGCCCCACAGCCAAGCTCGCCATGCCGCAGTGGGGGGGGTCCAGCCCGGCCACCCCAGGGTGAGGAGCTGGGATCCTCACTGCTCCCACAGCCCCACGGTGCCGCTCCTTGCCCGCGGCCACCGTCAGGATGCACCCCACGGTGGGTGACGGGGCGCAGGCAGGGCAGTGCCTCAGTTTCCCCCCGCAGCAGCAGCAGCACCACTGCCCACCGCTGCCCCACCGCCGCCCCCAGCATGGGGCTGCCTGGGCAGGGAGCCCTGGGGCGCGCTGGAGCTCGGCCACCGCCCAGCGCCATGGCGGGGGCTGGCTCTGGGGTGGCCGGAGCCCGTTCCAGCCCCGCGCGCAGACAGAAAACAAATTGCACAGCCGCTACAAGGAGCAGCCACCCAAACATCCCAGGGACAGCGGTGAGCTGGGGACAGGGGGACAAGGGCAGCGGGCCCTGCTGAGACCCCTCCTGGGGATATGGGGCACGGGGCTGGGGGTGCCGCTGGGTGCCGGCAGCGGGGAGGCCGAGGCGCGGGTGGGACCGGCGCTTTTCCAGCAGAAAAATCTGCAGTGCGTTAGAGGGGCCGGGAGCGTAACCACAGCTATGCCGAGAGGCCCCGGCGCGTCCCCGTGCCACCCGTGCCGTGCCGAGGGAGGCCGTCGCGGTGCCCAAGGTGCTGCCGGAGCACCCCGGGCACGGGGTGCAAGGGTGGGTTTATGGCCTGGGGCTCCTGGTTACTGATTTACCACGGGAGGGGAAGGACGGCGAGGCCGGGCAGCTGCGAGCATTCAGCAGGCTCCCACGGCGGTGGCAGGACAGGGGGCTCGTCCCGGAGGAGCCAGAGGTGCCCGAACCCACACGGGGCGAGGATGCTGCGCTGGAGCCTGCTGCTGCTGTGCCTGCTCCTGCCCTGCTCGGAGCAGCAGTACCTGGAGAACGCCACGCGCATCATGGAGAGCACGCCGGTCATCGATGGGTGAGCGTGGAGCTCGGGGGGGTCTCGGTTCCTGCAAAACTCCCAGGCACAGAAAGCCCCACGGCCCTGCCGGGGGGATGCCCGTGCTGTGCGCCCCAGGGACGCACGGGGCCGGCCTCGTTGGGGGATCCCCGCACGGTGCACCCGGGGCTGCACAACCACGGGGGATCCCCGGACACCACGCAGCCAGGCTGGGAATGGGGCTGGTGCTGGGAAACGGGGCCAGGCTGCCCCAGGGAAAGTCCTGCAGAGCCGTGTCCCAAGGGACATTCCCGGTCCCCTGCCAGGACGCCCCCGGACGCTGTTCCCGGAGGTGGGGTCGGGTCCTCGGTGGTGTCCCCACGGCTCCTTGGGGTGTGCGGCCACCTCCTGGCCCCGAGCAGCCCTGGCAGAGGGAGCAGGGATGGAGGAGCAGGAGGATGTGGCAGGGCCACGATGCGGGAGGGAAGAGGTGGGAGCTGGCCCGTGCGTCTGCCCCGAGAACTTCCCCAGAAATGCCGCAGGGTACATGACGCCACGGGTACACGTGGTGGTGACATCCCCACGGCGGTGACATCCCCACGGCGGTGGTGGTGACATCCCCACGGCGGTGACAGCACCGTCCCTGGGTGGGGATGCTGGGCTGCGTCCCCCCCAGTGCAGGAGGGAGCCCTGTGGTGGGCGAGGGCTGCGTGGGGATGGGCGTGGGGGGGCTGCGCCAAGGGGTCCCAGTGGGGTGACCGCTCCTGCTCCTGGCCTGAGCGGCTTGGGTGGCTCCTCCTGGGGGGCACGGATGGATGGGGTGGGGGGGGAGGGAAAGGAGGAGGGAGGGACGGACAGATGGACAGAGGGAGGGACAGACGGAGGGAAGGAGAGGGAGGGGCAAAGGAAGGGAGGGATGGAGGGAGGGGTTGTGGAGAGATGGAGAGGGAGGGATGGAGGGAGGGATGGATGGATGGATGGACGGACGGGCGGACGGACAGATGGATGGACGGACGGAGGGATGGATGGATGGATGGATGGATGGATGGAGGGATGGATGGATGGATGGAGGGATGGATGGAGGGATGGAGGGATGGATGGATGGAGGGATGGATGGATGGATGGAGGGATGGATGGATGGATGGATGGATGGATGGATGGATGGATGGATGGATGGATGGATGGATGGAGGGATGGAGGGATGGGTGAGTGGATGGGCAGGCAGCCAGGGGTCCTGGGCATGTAGCTGGGCAGCCGCCTGGCTGGATAGACAGACGGACAGCCGGACAGACAGCCCCTCACTCCGCTCTCTCCCCGGCCCAGGCACAACGACCTGCCCTGGCAGCTCCTCAAAAGGTTCAACAACCGGCTGGGGCTGCCGGAGTCCAACCTGACGCAGCTGAACGGCACGCACACCAACATCCCCAAACTCAACACCGGCCACGTGGGCGGCCAGGTGGGGGCGGCGAGCGGGGCGCGGGCACCGGGGGGACCCCAAAACTGGGTCTGGGTGCTCACCCCCCCCCCCTGCCTCCCCGGGCAGTTCTGGTCGGTGTACGTGCCCTGCGAGACGCAGAACAAGGACGCGGTGAAGCGCACGCTGGAGCAGATCGACGTGGTGCACCGCATGTGCCAGCTCTACCCCGACACCTTCTCCTGCGTCGTGGACAGCGCTGGTGAGCGGGTGTGGGACCGGCAGCAGGGGGGCGAGGGGCTGCTGGTGCCCGTGCCTGGCTGAGCGCCCCCCGCCTGCCCACCCGCAGGCATCGAGGCGGCTTTTCGGAACAAGAAAGTGGCCAGCCTCATCGGCGTGGAGGGCGGCCACTCCATCGACAGCAGCCTGGGCGTCCTGCGTACCTTCTACATGCTGGGCGTCCGCTACATGACCCTCACCCACAGCTGCAACACGCCCTGGTGCGGGGGCACGGCTGGGGCTGGGGGTGGCGGGGACGGGGAGGAGGCTGGGGGCTTTTGGGGGGGCTGCTCTGATGCTCTGCCGACCCCGCAGGGCTGACAACTGGCTGGTGGACACGGCGGAGGAGTCGCCCGTGCACCACGGCCTCTCGGCTTTTGGCAAGGTGAGCGGGGAGGGAGCAGGGTGCAGCACCCTGGAGCTGGAGGGGGGGGACGTGGCTTGGGGACAGCCAGCCCCCCCGGTGCACGGTGTCCCCCCCATGGGGCTGCCCCAGCCCTCACCCTGTCCCCGCAGACCGTGGTGGAGGAGATGAACCGGCTGGGCATGATCGTGGACCTGGCCCACGTCTCGGTGGCCACCATGAGGATGGTGCTGAACATCTCCAAAGCCCCCGTCATCTTCAGCCACTCCTCCGCCTATGGCCTCTGCCCGCACCGCCGCAACGTGCCGGATGACGTGCTGAGGATGGTGGTGAGCACCCGGCACCAGCTGGGGAGGGGGTCCGGGGGGGGGGTCCGACAGGGGCTCAGCACCACCACCTCTCCCCCAGGCTGCCAAGGAGGGGCTGGTGATGGTCAACTTCTACAACGACTATGTGACCTGCAGTGACAAGGCCAACCTGAGCGACGTGGCGAGTGAGGCAGCGGGCAGGGACTTTGGGGGGGGGTGAGGGGAAGGGTGCGGTGTCCCCCCGCCTGCTCAACCCCCCCCCTGCACCCTCAGACCACATGGACTACGTGAAGAGGGTGGCAGGCTACCAGTTTGTGGGCTTCGGTGGGGACTACGACGGCGTCACGAGGTAACGGGGGTGGCAGTGGCAGGGACTGGGATGGGGTAGCCCAAAAGGTGAGGTCAGGATCAGCCATGGGGTGCCCCCATGCCCTGCCTGGGGGGCTGGGGGGGGACACGGGGGTGCTGCCTCTGAGCCTCGGGGTGCCACAGGCTCCCCACGGGGCTGGAGGACGTCTCCACCTACCCGGCGCTGGTGGCGGAGCTGCTGCGCAGGGGCTGGACGGAGCAGGAGGTGAGGGCGGCGCTGGCAGGCAACCTGCTCCGTGTCTTCAAGAAGGTGGAGGAGGTGAGTGGGGCACGGGGGGGGCACGGGGGTGATGGGACATGGGGACACACGGCTAAGCGGGGCACCAGGGTGCTCGGGGACGTAGGGTGGCACAGGGACACGCGGGGCAGCACCGTGAGGGTGCCACGGGGCGGTGCGGCACGCGGGGACCCCAACTCACCGCAGGAACCCACCTTGTCCCCCCCAGGTGAAGGTGTCCCTGCAGGGCACGGCGCCCCTGGAGGAGCCCATCGCCCTCGAGGAGCTGTCTGGGGAGTGCAGGACGAGCTACGGATACACCGACACCACCACCGGGGCCGGCCCAGCCCCGCTCCTGCCGGCAGCCCTGGTGCTGGCGCTGCCCCTGCTCAGCACCCTGCTGTCCTAGCACCCTGCTGAGGGTGCTGGGTGCCCCCCGGCACGGCTGGACCCTGCCAGCACCTCACCCCGAGCACCATGAAGCCGTGCCAGGCAGTGCGCATCGCCCCCAAGCCCCCAGGGGTGCATGGTGGGGTTGGCACCTGCCCCGCTGCGGTGACGAGCCACCACGGCGTGCCACCGGCCACCCTGATGGCACCCTGATGGCACCCTGATGGCACCCTGGCACGGCACCGGGCACCCCGGCGTGGCGGAGGCACTCGGTGGGTGCCCACCCCGGGCTGGGGGCTGCCACCACACCGGGAGTGAGACATCGCCGCAACAGCCGGCCAGGTGGCGGCGGGGCTGCCTCCGCAGGATGCTTCCATTAATCATTAGCGAATTAATTGGTTACTCAATCATCTTCTTAGCAATTTCCTCTCGCGTTTGGGAACAGCCTGTCTTCACGGCGGAGGCGGCTTCGGGCACCGGGGAAAACAAGCTCGCGAGGCAGAGCCACCTTCCTGTGGCATTCGCGGCTTGGCTGCGGCGCGGAGCCCGGCTGCCAGGAGGAGGGGAGGGGACGAGCCCCCAGCCCCCCCAGCTGGCACCCACCAGTGCCGGGTGCTGCGGATGGGAAAGGGCAGAGCTCCTGGGGGGGCAGCTCCCCCTTTGGCAAGCCCAAATTTCCCCCCACGAGGTTCTGGGAGAGGTGCGGGGAAGGGCGCAGGGAGCCAAAACGCAGCCGGGAAAAGCAGCGGGGAGGGAGGGGGCTGCCTCGGCCCCCCAGGAGCCGGCGGTGGCCGCAGCGGGGCTGTGGCAGCTCCTGCTCGTCCCAGTTCCCCCAGCTCAGCCACAGGAAGGGAACTGGGCCCTGCTGGGAGGTGTAGGTAGGTGGCATGCAGGGTGTCCCAGCACGTCAGGGGCCTTCCCCTCTGCCGCCCCCAAAGCTGTAAGCCCCATCCCAGGGGGCCAGGCCCGGCCTCCCCCTGCTCCCCACCTCAGCCCCCCCGGGACCCCCGGCTCCTTCCCCAGCTGTGGTGGGGTTCCCAGCCCCCCCTCTTTGTGCCCAAGCCCCTTGTGTGCACACCACGAGGGATGTTCAGGCAGTTTTTATTTAAAATAGCAGAAGGTAATCAACAGTGTGGTAGAGAAGAAAAAGGCAACGGAGACAAGCTTAAAAAAAAAAAGAGAAAAACAAAAACACAACAACACGAACCCAACAGGAATCGAGACAAACATCACAGGGGAAGGGGGGGCGGTTCCAGGGGCTGGGGGGTACATCCCAGCCCCCAGCCCGGTGCTGATGCAGGGCCAGGTGCTGGTGGCAGCCCCGCTCCGTGGTGCAGGCGCCGTGCACAAGCGGCTTTGCAGCCCCAAGTGCCTTCTGCTGCCCTGTTGTCACCCCCCCCACACACCCCCCCGCCACAGCACACGAGGGCGGAAGGCTCTCTCAGCTAGACACATGCAGCCAAGGCCACTGAACTTAGAAAAAAAACTAACCCAAACAGCACGAAGTGTTTTTGTCACGAGCACTGAGATGGCCCCGGCTTGGAGCGTGCCCTGCCCTGTGTCTGTGGCCTGAGCCGGGCCGGGTGCCAGCACCGGAGGGGTGCGGGGGCTGCCGCCCGTCCCCACGCTTCCCCTGTCCCCCGATAGCCCCCGCTCTCAGCCCGGCCCCGTGCAGCTGCTGTGTGGGACTGAAAATCCCCGCTAAAGCTGAAGGAGGGGAGCTGCAGCCGCGTGCAGGCACTGTGGGGCCGGGCAGCCGTAGAGTCCTCGCTCATGGCCTGCAGGAAAAGGGCTGAAATTCCTCCTCCCCCCAAGAGCCAAAGGAAGCCGAATTTCCTTCCCGCAAGCTTCCCACCCACTTGGTACCTCAAGGAGATGGGGTGCTGGGAGCCTCAGCCCCGGGCAGCCCCATTTCCCTGACCACCGTGCCTCCCACCCAGCCCCCTGCGAGCCCCCCGGGCACGGGGATGTGGCAAGGTGGGGGCAGAGGAGGGCAGGAGGGGGACCCAGGGGCCAGGTGGATGCGTGCCCAGGAGGGTTTGGCACCCGCCCCGGTGCGCCCATCCGGCCGGGACGGTCACAACCCCGGTAACTCGCTGCCTGCAGCACGGGGAGGGGGCACGGGGGGGGATTTACGGGGCAGGACGAGCGTTTCAAAGGCCACTTCGTGGTAGAGACGCGGGGAGGATCAGCCTGCCAGGACCAGGCGGGTGGGCAAGGCGAGGTCTGCAAGCAGGGCCAGCAGGTATGGCTACGAACCGGGCAGCTGGGGGAGGGCGCTGCTAGGCCAGAGGTGTGGAGGTGTACCCCCGCCTTCCTGCAAGGCACAAAGCCCCCCAAAAACACCACAGCCCCGCGGGGAGTGAGCCCCCAGCCCTCCTGCCGCAATGCCAAGGGCACAGCTGCTCGCTGCGGGCTCCTGCTGGGTGCTGCCCACAGCTGGGAGGCCCTGCAGCAGGTACCGGGCGTGCTACGCACGGAGGAGGCAGGCAACCAGCACCCCGGGAGCTGCCACAACCCACCCCCAGAAGGATTCGTTCAGTGTTAAATCAGGAGTGGCACGGCGCATCAGGGGGCGCTGCGAGAAACCCGCAGCGCCCCTCAAATGAAAAACACCCTAAAATCACCCTAAAAATCACCCTAAAATCAGAACCAGCGAAGCATCCGTCAAGCCCGGAGAAGGGCTGCCCTTGCTCCATCCCCCCCGCCGGGATCTCTGCCTGCTCTGGTCACCGTCGCACCCCAAAAGAAGTCTTGCAGGGAGGTGGGCAGGGCTGGGGACGTGCTGCTGCAGGAGGGGCCGGCCCTGCCCGGCCAGCAGGTCAGAGCAAGGACGTAACGGGCAGAGGGGAAGGAGTCCTGGGTCCCTCCGACCCCACACACCATACAAGCAGTGTGGCAGCAGTCCGCGGGGGAGGCAGGAGACCTTAATTCCGCAAGGCAGCCAACCTGGAAGGGAGAAAACAAGAGGGAAGAGGCATAAGAGCAGCTGGGATCAGCCACCAGATCTACAAGGAATCAAGCCCAGGGCACGCCTCTGCCTCCCTCCAGTGGCGGAGAGGCAAGAAATGCTGCCCCGGAGCACACAGCCCTGAGAGCCTGCAGGAAATGCAGAGCATCTGTTGTCAGCGCAGCAATTTTGCTGCAGGAATGGGGCTCCCAGCTCCTCCCGGGGGTACCTCGTGGCTACAGACGCCTGGTGCCCCCTCCCCAGGGCTGCACGGGGCCGGTGCCATCGCACACGGGGACCCCGGCAGCAGGGAGGGAGCGGGGAGAGGAAGCTGATCGGCTCCTCCTGGGGCAGTTCCAGCGAGACAGCCTGTTCCCGGAGCTGGCTGCGGGTCAGTGCCAAGCCTTCCCAGCACAGCAGCAGCTGCGTGAGGGCGAGCACGGAGCAGGGCAGACGGCGTGGTGCCGGATGGAGGACAGCTTGCTGCCACGTGCCAGTGGCCACCCCCAGCCCCGAGCGGCCACCTCGCCTGCCTGCGCCCTGTGAAGAATTTAGGCTGCAGAAAACCAACCTCCGTGACAGCTGGTCCTCCTGGGAGCGCACCGAGCTCTCGCCCACCGCCGAAGCCCCCTCGGGGAGCTGGCTGAGCTGGTCCATGATCTCCAGGCCGTTCTCCTCGGCGATCTGCACGATGAGGCTGTCCACCTGCTCCTGCGGCGTGGTCAGGGTGGTGGCAGAGCTCATGGAGTCCTCCATGACCTGAAACAGAGACAGTCCATCAGCATGACCCACAGGCAGAGCTGCTCGGCTCAGCACAACTTCTTTCCCTCAAAAATCACCCCACAGACCCCATAACACCACTGCCCCTGCACCAGAATGGTCTACAGCAAAGCCTTCCCTGCTGGGCAGCAGAGCCGTGGCTTTCCCAGCCTCTCTCTCACACACCAGACACACAGAAGAGCTCTCAGGGCCCCTCGAGGCCTCCTCCACTTACCGACGTATGAACATCCAAATTCTGGACCTGCTGCTCGAATTTATCCATCACGGCAGACACCTTCTGCAGGTCCATGGAGCTCAGAGCCTTGTCTAGAGCCTTAGTCACCTGAGCCATGTTTTTTGTCACCTGCAAGAGGAGGAGATTGCTTCATGGGTACTGCCTGAAAGCAAAGTCATCGCTGCTGAGAGCAAATCCCTGGCACAGAGCCCTGAGCACAGCACAGCCAGGGGGGGCCCACAGCAGCCCTGCACCCCTGGGGAGGGCAGGTCCCAGCCCACCCCCCTGCAGACACACACGCAGGGGGTAGCAGGGGCAGGGGAACAGGCACAAGCCCCGAGGAGCAGCCCCTCTGCTGCAGTGCCCTCTGTGGCACTTCAGAAGCTGCTCCAGACCCCAAACCAGCAGGGACTGGGCTCAACACGAAGCTTCACGGGATCCTTGTTGGGGACAGGGGAGCCCGAGGTGGTTCAAGGCAGGGTCTGCAGGGTGCAGACCACCCTGGAGAACAGAGACCCTTACCCCTTTCATGGTCACTGCCGTCTGCACCTTGGAGGCCACAGCATCCACGCGGGAAGCCATGCGGAGCCAGTTGAGCCCCTCGTTCTTCTTGCGGATGGCATTCTCCGCGTAGACACGAGCACATTCCACGTTCTTCTGCTGAAGGGCCTGGAAGAGCAGAGGACAGCTGCTGGCACCAAGAACCCACCCTGTGCTCACGAACCCGCGCAATCCATCCCTCCCTGACAGGCCTGCAGCAGGAAGCAGCTTTGCTGTGACCCCACGCCAACAGGGAGCACGCCCTCGGGATGGAATGAAATCTGAAATCCTCCTCGGCGTCACAGGGAGGCACCAGCAGAGCCGGGATCTCAGCGTGGGACTTCACAGAACCCCCTGTGCTCCCCGCCAGGGTCCTCGAGTCCAACTTGCAGCCGCCCAGAGATCAGAGCTGGTGCCTGAGCGATGCCCGCACGTTTCTCAACCTCCATCAGCTCAGGGCTGGGACTGCTTCCCCGGGGAGCCTGTGCCCCAGCACACTCCCAGTGAAAAAGAAACATTCCTAAAACATTCTGAGGCCAACTTTTTGTGACTGCTGGTGCACACAAAGCCTGGAGAGGGGCACTGCCCCTTTGCCCCATCCCTCGATGCAGGGCAAGGGTGGAGGAAGGGTCCCCAACCCCTGTGCACAGTACCCGTGGCCCCGCGAGGAGCCACCACCCACCTTTTTGACCTTTGCCTGCTCCGCCTTGGAGTCCTTCTCAGCCTTTTTAGCGAGCTTCTCCAGCTGCTTGGCTGTGAACTGGAAAGGAGGCAGGGGTTAGAGCCGGGACACCGCGGGGAAGGCGGTGGCAGCAACCTGGGGAGTGCCACCACCTCCCCGGGGAGGGCTGCTCGTGGGGGGCAGCACCCCGGAGTGCCGAGCAGAGACAGGTTACAACAGGACCCACAGGGACATGGGGGGGGTTGAAAAGGGAGAGGGGGTAAAAAAAGGGGGGGCAAAAAGGAGGGGTTAAAAAAAAGGGGGGAGTATAAAGAGGGGTAAAAAGACGGGGGTGTAAGGGGGGGATAAGAAAGGGGGGTACAAAGGGAGGGTTAAAAGGAGAGCACTAAGGGGGGGGTTAAAAAATGGGGGCACAAAGGGAGGGGTTAAAAGGGGGGGCACAAAGGGAGGGGTTAAAAGGGGGGGAGTAAAGAAAAAGGGGTAAATACAAGGATTAAAAGAGGGGAAGGGTAAAAGGGAAGGGTAAAGGGGGAGGGTACAGGGTCCTTGTGCCCCCCCCGCCCCCAAGAAACCCCATAACGCTCCGCACTGCCCCCCCCCCCCAGCACGGCCGCCGTTACCGGCCCCTAATGCGGCGGGCACGTCCCGGGGCTGCCGGTGTGGGGTCGGGGTCAGCGCCGCGCTCACCTTCAGCTGGAACAGCGTGTCTGCGGGGAGAGAGCGGCCTCAGCACCGGGACCCCCGGACCCCCCCCGGTGACCCCCTACCCCGGAGCCTTCCCCCCCCGCTCCTTACCGTCCATCCTGCCCCTCCGCCGCTTCCGGGTGCCGCCGCCGCCGCTTCCGGGCTGCGCGCGCCGCCGGCCGGTGGGGGCGGCCCCCGGGGGGGCGGGGCACCGGGGCGGGGACAGGAACGGGGACAGGGACGGGGGCACCCCCCGGGGCACCGGGAGCTGCCACCCGTCACCATTTCGACCCCGTTTGACCCCGTTGAGACAAATCGGGCGCCTCCCGCTGTGCCGTGCTCAGAGCCGGCGGGGTTTTAACGATTAAAATATAATTAACGTATATGCGGTGTAATTAGCCCCGCTGCGTTTGAGGCACCGGTGTCGGGAGGCGGGTGGGAACACGGCAGCGGGGGGGCAGGGGGCAGGCAGCAGGGTGCTCCGGGGGCTCCCCACGGTGCCGGCTGTCAGTGAACGCCGGGGCTGGGCTCACACCGGCTGCGGGCCGGGCCCGGGCACGGCGGGGCCTACACCGGGGCCTACACCGGGGCCTACACCGGGCCGGGCCAGGCCGCGCATAGCAACGGTTGCTAGGGGCCCGCGCGGGGAGGGCGGCACTGCGCATGCGTCAAGCGGCGCCGGGCGGTACTGCGCATGCGTCAAGCGGCGCCGGGCGGCACTGCGCATGCGTGAGGCGGCCATGGCGGAGGGCGGGAGCGCTGAGGGGGAGCTGGAGCCGCTGCGCTTCCCCCGGCTGTGGGCGGATGGCTTCTTCGAGGTGCCGGCGTCCGAGAGGGTGAGGGACGGGGCGGTGAGGTCGCGGGGTGGGGATTTGGGGGGTGCTGGGTCGTGAGGAGGGGGCCTGGGCCTTGAGGAGGGGGGCCTGGGCCTTGAGGGGGGGGCACCGGGCCCTGAGGGGGGGGCACCGGGCCCAGGCCGGGGCCGTCCCTGCAGCAGAAGGGCCCGGGGCAGCCCCACCGTCAGGCCGTGCCTCCCCCCGCTCGTGGGAGGTCCCCCCACCCCCGGAGGCAGGTCCTGCCCCTGACCCCCGGTTTGGTTGCAGCTGGGGAGGTGCCGGAGCGTGAAGGAGTTCGAGAAGCTGAACCGCATCGGGGAGGGCACCTACGGCATCGTGTGTGAGTGCGGGGCGGGCTGCCCTCCCGGCACGGGAGGGGGATGGAGCCTGGGTGGAAGGGTGGGTGCTCAGCCTGGGAGCGGAGCATGCTGGGCTGTGGGGCGGCAGGCCTGAGGCTGAGAGGGGGCTCGGCGGTGCCAGCGCCTCCCCGGTGATAGGGAATAAAGCCAGCAGCTACCTCCTGGTGCTGAGCGCCCCGCTGCTCTTCCAGACCGTGCCCGGGACACCGTAACGGATGAGACCGTGGCACTGAAGAAGGTGCGGATGGACAATGAGAAAGAAGGTAATAAAGGACCAGGGACGCCGCGGCAAGGGTGGCTCCTCATGCAGACAGCAGCGCCCCTGGCCCATGCTTGAGGCACTCGTGCAGCGCGGCTCTCGCTGTCCCCCCCAGGAATGCCCGTCAGCAGCCTGCGGGAGATCACCCTGCTGCTGGAGCTCCACCACCCCAACATTGTGGAGCTGAAGGAGGTGGTCGTGGGGAACCACCTGGAGAGGTGAGAGTGCCCCCTCTGTCCTCCTGTCATCTCCTGCCCTCTCGGCTCTTCAGAGGCGATGCCTTCCTGGTGCTCCAGCACAGCCCGTGCCTTACCTGCCTCTGTCCCATCTCCTGCAGCATTTTTCTGGTAATGGGCTACTGTGAGCAGGACCTCGCCAGCCTTCTGGAGAACATGCAGACGCCTTTTTCTGAGGCTCAGGTAAAGGTTGGGACAGGCTTTTAGGAATGCCACCCGTCAGAGGGGGCTGCAGCTCCAGCCAAAACACCTTGGCCACCAGCGTGGGTTCCCTGTGCCTTGCAACCCCTCCTGGGCACGCAGCGGGTGACGCCGCTGTCCTCTGTCCCCAGGTGAAGTGCATCATCTTGCAAGTGCTCAAGGGCCTGCAGTACCTTCACGACAAGTACATCATCCACAGGTGGGAGCGGGGGGACTGCTGGGAGGCAGCCTGCAGGGCCCTCAAGCTGTGGGGTGATTCCTCAGCTCCTGCGCCCCTGCCAGGGGAGCAGGGAGCGCTGTGTGGAGAAGCTCTGGGTGGGGCGTGGTGCAAACACTGGGCAGGGTGGGAGCTGTGGCAGGGATGCTGAGATGCATTTCTCTCAGTGAGCAGCCAGCTCAGGGGCTCGGCGTCTCCCCAGGCGCCCTGGGAGGGGTGGGTGTGGGAGGAACCACGGCTGCAGGGCAGCGCTGACCGGCCCCTCGGTGTTCCTGGCAGGGATCTGAAGGTGTCCAACCTGCTGATGACTGACAAAGGCTGCGTGAAGATAGGTGAGCCCCTGCGGGTGTGCCTGCAGCTCTCCCTCTGCTCCACGAGCAGCCGGAGCACGGATCCCACCTCTCCTCTCACCTCGGGGCTCTTCTCTTGCAGCGGATTTCGGTCTGGCACGTACCTACGGGATGCCACCAAAGCCCATGACCCCCAAAGTCGTCACGCTGTGGTGAGTGCTGGGCGTGGGACCCCGAGCTGTGCTGCCTCGGGGTGGCACGGGGCGAGTCCTGCAGGGGGGACAGCGGGGGCTTCCTGCAGACCTGCCCCTTCCCTGCGCAGGTACCGAGCGCCTGAGCTGCTGCTGGGGACGACGACGCAGACCACCAGCATTGACATGTGGTAAGGGTGGGGACAAAGGACAGGAGGGGCCAAGGCTGGCTGGGCAGTGCCTGGGGGTTCACAGGAGCCAGGACTGCAAACACACACGGGGAGGGTGGGGGTTCTCCTGCAACCACTGACTCTTTCTTGCACATCCTCTGCACCGCAGGGCCGTGGGCTGCATCCTCGCCGAGCTGCTGGCTCACAAGCCGCTGCTGCCGGGCACCTCGGAGATCCACCAGATCGACCTCATCGTGCAGCTCCTGGGGACACCCAACGAGAACATCTGGCCGGTGAGAGCTGTTCTGTGAGCGCTGCCCTCCCTCCCTGCCTGCCTGTGCCTGATTTCTCTGCGCCCCTGCCCTCAGGGTTTCTCCAAGCTGCCCCTGGTGAGTCAGTACACCCTGCGGAAGCAGCCTTACAACAACCTCAAGCACAAGTTCCCCTGGCTGTCGGAGGCCGGGCTGCGTCTGCTCAACTTCCTCTTCATGTACGATCCCAAGAAGCGGTAAGAGCCAGCTGCGTGGGCAGGGCTTTTGGGGCTGCTGGTGTCACCGTGCGTGCCTGGAGGGGACTGTCCCTTGTGGGGTGGGGACTGTCCCTCGGGATGGGGGCAGCTCAGCCCCGTGGGTGGGTGCTGGGGTGGAAATGAGCCCAGGGAGGAGTGTGGGCAGGTTGGGGACCGGGAGAGCAGGCCATGTGCAAGGGTGATGGGAGGCAGCAGCGTGCTTGGGCTGCAAGCAGAGCTTGCCACGTGCCCTTGTCCCCGCAGGGCGACAGCGAAAGACTGCCTGGAGAGCTCCTACTTCAAGGAGAAGCCCCTCCGTAAGTAAATCCCCCACCAACCAGGGCTGTGGAGCTGGGGCCCCGCTGACCCACCTCTCTGCCCCCCAGCCTGCGAGCCTGAGCTCATGCCCACCTTCCCGCACCACCGCAACAAGCGGGCAGCCTCCACCAGCACGGGGACGGAGACGCAGGCAAAACGGGGCAAGCCCTGAGCCCCGTCCCGCAGCGGGAGGTAACGGGAGCTCGCCGCGGGGGCGGCCGTGGGGCTGGGCGCTGGCTCCTGCCCCGCTGCTGGCCGGGCACGCGGCCCCGTCAGCCCTAAGGGGTGCCCGGCTCACCCCAAAACACCCACGGGCTGCCAGAGCCCGAGCTGTGACCCCATCACAGCACTGATCCCCTCCTGCCCTGCCTGGGGCTGGGAGCGCAGCCCCCAGCTGGGTTTCAGCCCTGCGCCGCCTCCTCCCTGGGGGTGGGATGGGGGCACGGCCTGTGGGGGGGGGAGGATGGGGGGAGCGGGGTTTGGGACAGAGACACCTGGGGGGCTGGCGGGGCCAGCCCTGGGCTGTGTGGTGTAACCCTGACTGTGCTGTCAATAAAAGCAGCTGCAAACAGAGCTGTGGTGTGAGCCAGGTCCTTGGGGCAGAACCCGGGCAGGATGCGGCCCTCAGCCTCCCCCCGGCCTGAGCTGCTCCTGGGGGGTGCCACCAGCACCGAGCTGACCCCCGGTGAAGCCCCCCAGGGACCAAACCACCCTGGGGACAGCGCTGTGAGCCCCGTCCCCCCCATGAGGGGTTGGGGGGGGGTTCTTCAGCCCTTCCTCCTCCCCGCTCCCTCCCTGGCAGACAAGACCAGCGCGCCGCGAGGCAGCCACGTTTTACTGGGACGCACGGAGCCATTTACAGCAGCAGCTGGAGCAGGGGCCCGTTGTGCCCACCCTCCTCAGACCACCCCACCACGTCCAGGAGCTCGGCAACCAGCAGCACCCCTGGCGTTGCCCTCCTAGGGCCGGGGGCTGGAGCTGTCGGCCAGCAGCATGTCCACCTCTGTCCTCTGCAGCCAGAGGCGCTGCTGCCTCTCGCCGCGCAGCTCCTGGCCCCGGTGCTGGCTGCGGCAGGCCCGGCCGGCGGCGCAGGTGCCGGCGTGCAGCTGCTGGCAGGTGGTGCAGCAGTAGGAGGGCAGCGTGCCCTGCTGCAGGCACGAGTGCAGCTGGTAGCAGGGCAGCTCGGGCGCTTCCTGCGGGGCGCCGAGGGGCACAGCCTCGGCCTGGCTGCCGGGTGGGGGCTCCCCAGGGGGCAGCCAGGTTGGGGGGAGCATCTGGGGGCTGCCGCCGGCCCCCCTGAGCTCCTGCTCCAGGAAAAAGCAAGAGGAGGAGGAGGAGGAGGAGGAAGCGTCCGGCTTGGGGATGGTGGGGAGCAGCTCCCGCCTGAGATCGCTGTGTTCACAGAGGTCCCAGCTCCTCCCGAGCACGTCCTGGGCCTCCTGCAGCCCCGCGGGGTCCCTCCACAGCCTGGAGCTTGGCGCTGGGGGGCTGAGCTCCTGCTCCCCGCCGTCCCCGGGGTTCTCCGGCATCTCCTGGTACAGATCCATGTCGTCATCGTCATCGCAGGCGGCCGCCACCTCGCCTCCTCCCGCCGCCAGCTCCCGCAGCATCTCCACGCAGGCCTCCACGTCGCGGGCGAGGCCGCGGGCCTTCAGCAGCTCCTCGGCACGCACCCGGCGGGGCCGCAGCCGCTGCAGCACCTCGGCCAGGATCTCACACTCCAGCCGGCAGGCGAAGAAGCCGCAGGCGGCAGCGGCCAGCTCAGTGCCCGGGGGCCGGCGGCACACGGCCAGGCGGTGCTCGTCCCGTCGTGCGTAGCCCAGGCGCCCAAAACTCCGCAGGAGATCAGCTTCGGGCAGCGCCGCCCGCAGCGAGTGCACGTAGGCCCCCGAGAAGGTCTGCAAGGACAGCGGGGTGACACCGGGGGTCCCGGCTCCCCTCCCCGGGACCCCCAGCCTCCCGGTCTCGCCGCCCGCTCACCTGCACGGTGCCGAACTCCTTGCGCCAGGGGAAGAGGTAGAGGTTGAGGGCCGCCCGCTCCAGCAGCTCGAAGGCGGCCTGCCAGGCCCCGCAGCGCCGGCTCCAGCTCGCGGCGGCCCCGCAGCCCCCGGGCCAGGAGGGCTTCGGCGTCGTCCTGCAGGGCCCGCAGCAGCCCCGGCTCCGCCCGCAGCCGCTGCCGCAGCCTCTCGGTGAACGAGGGGTCGGGGCAGGCGCCCGCACGGCCCCGCTCCAGGCTCCGCCGGTACTCCTGCCGCACCGCCGGGCCCGCGCACATCCTGTGGGCACCCCCGGGTTAGCGCCCACGGGCCCCCACCGGCCCCGCTGCTCCCGGTCCCTCCCCGTGGCCCCCTACCGGCCCCGCTGCCCCCCACTGCCCCGCCCCAGCACCGCCCCCAGCCCCGTTCCCTGCCCCGTGGCCCCCAACCGGTCCCGGTGCCCCCTGGTTCCCCGCTGCAGCCCCACCCCGGGTCCCTCCCGGTGGCCCCTACCGGCCCCGGTTCCTCCCGGTGCCCCCCCGGTGCCCCCCGGTGCCCCCCCGGTTCCCCGCCCCAGCACCGCCCCCGGCCCCGGTCACCCCCCGCTCCCCCCGCCGCACTCCCCCAGCTCCACCCGGCGACCCCGAACCCCCCGAACCAGCCCCGGTTCCCCCCCCCGGTGCCGGTCCCGGTCCGGTCCCTCTCCCACCTGCCTGCCCGGCCCCGCGCCCCTTCCGCTTTCCCGCGCCACGCCCACCGTGACGCCACGCGTGGGGGGGGGGCGTTGCCCTCCCCGCAGCGCCCCCCCGCGGGCCGAGCCCCGCCACTTGCCGGGGGGGTCCCTGGGGGTCCTGGGGGGGCGGCTCAGGGCAGGGTCTCCAGGTAAGCCAGTGCGCTCCGCAGGGAGGTCAGGCAGTACCCCTCCTCGCCCAGCAGGCACCTGCGGCACGCGGTGTCACCACCGGGGGTCTCAGCCCCCCCCCCGGGACCCCCCCCCTCAACCCCCCCCTTGAGCCCCCTACCCCTCGTGGATGAATTCCTCCAGCGCCGCGCACTCGGGGAGCAGCTGGGGCAGCCCGCTGCGCAACGCCGCGAACGACACGAGGGGCAGCAGGTCGTCCGCACCGCTGCTGGCGACACGAGAACTCAGGGGGGCTGCTGGCACCTGGCACCCGGGGGCACTGGTGCCCGTGGCCACTGGCACCCAAGGACACCAGCACCCAAGGAGACCAGCACCCACGGTCACTGGCACCCATGGATTTTGCAACCCAAGGACACCAGCACCCATGGACACCACCACTTGTAGCCACTGGCACCCATGGACACCGGCACCCAGGGTCACCGGCACCCATGGGCACTGGTACTCAAGGACGCTGGCACCCATGGGCACTGGCACTGATAGCCACCGGTACCCATGGCCACCAGCACCTGGGGGTCACCAGCACCCATGGCCACTGGTACCCATGGTCAATGACACCCGAGGACACCATACCCATGGTCACTGGCACCCATGGTCACCAGCACCCATAGCCACTGGTACCCAGAGTCACCAGCACCCGTGGCCACTGGTACTCAAGGACGCTGGCACCCATGGCCACTGGCACTGATAGCCACTGTTACCCATGGCCACCAGCACCTGGGGGTCACCAGCACCCATGGCCACTGGCAACCATGGCCAATGACACCCAAGGACACCATACCCATGGTCACTGGCACCCATGGCCACCAGCACCCAAGGACATGAGCACCTGGGGTCACCAGCACCCATGGCCACTGGCACCCAAGGAGACCAGCACCCATGGACACTGGCACCCATGGCCACCAGTACCCAAGGACACCAGCACCTGGGGTCACCGGCACCCACGGCCAATGACACCCAAGGACACCACACCCATGGCCACCAGTACCCAATGGACACCAGCACCCGGAGTCACCAGCACCCATAGCCACTGGCACCCAAGGACACCAGCACCCATGGCCACCAGTACCCGCAGCAGCAACCAGCAGCCCTGCAGCACTGGGGAGCACCGACCCCGCTGCCCCCCGGGCCGGGCACCCCCCCGGCAGCGCCGTACTCACATGGTGCCGGCGGCTGGGGGCGCGGCTGTTGCGGGCGCTGCAGTACTCCTCGGCGCACTCGCAGATGCTGCGCAGGGCTCGCACTGCGGCACACAGCAGGGTGCTGAGGGTCGTCCCCGCTTGCCCCCCGTGTGCCCCCCACCCCCCCAGCACGCCCCCAGCCCGGCCCCGCACCGATGCAGTCCAGCTTCCTGCGGGGACACGTCTCCAGCGGGATGAGGCGCAGGTCCTCCACGGCGGCGCCGTAGGCGGGGGACGAGCCAGGGGCGGCGGGGAAGAGCCGGGAGGGCAGCCCCAGCTCGGCGGGGCTGGCGTTGCGGTGCCGCTCCATGCTGCGGGCCAGGGCCGCCTCGCGGGGCCGGTGCACGCTCCTGCGGGCAGACAACGGGGGGCTGCTAGGGGTAGGGGGGCCGGGACGGGAGCCCCCAGCCGAGCCCTGGGGCTGCGGTACCTGTAGAGGGCCAGCAGTGGGGCCCAGAGCTGGGGGAAGAAGGCTTCCTCGATGCAGGCCAGGCACTGGTCCTTGCCGGCGGCGGTGTTCAGCCCCTCGAAGGCCAGCAGGGTCAGGGACAGCAGCCTGTCTGGGAAGGAGGGAGTTACGCAGCTCGCTGGGCTGGGCACAGCAAGACCCCAGTCCCCATCCCGCGTGTCCCCGTCCCCCCCTCACCGATGGCGTTGTGGATGTCCCTCACCACACCCTTCAGCTGCTCCTGCAGCGACGCTGCCTGCCCGGGGGGCTCCCCCAAGGGCCAGTCCTCGGGTGAGGCCAGGAACCGCTCCAGGTCCTCGAAGGAGCTCTCCCGGGGGGCCTGGGGGTCCCCCTCCAGTCCCGGGGGCGTCGGGGCTGCCGTCGGCGAGGGGCGCGCTGGAGAGGCTGTGCCGCAGCTCGGCTGGGCCGTGCTCGGGCACCGAGAACATGCAGTGCAGGCTGCGCTGAGGCTCGGAGCCGCCGGCCCCCCGGCTCTGCAGGCAGCAACCCCCCCGCAGTCCAGAGAGAGGAAGGAGAGGCTGGCGGGGGCTGTGGGGGCAGCCTCGGGGCTGCTCTGGCTCACAGCCGGGTACAGCCGCGTGTACACCGCGCACTGCAGCTTGCGCAGGAGCTGGGCAATGGGGTGCTCGGGGAAGCTGGAAGCAGAGGGATGGGGGTGAGGGGGGGCACCGGCTGGTGGCTGCGCCCCCCTGGGTCCGAGCAGAGCCCCCTGCCAGCCCCACAGTACCTGAGGAGGCAGGAGAAGAGCCCCGTCACCAGGGACAGGTCTGCTGGGCTCCTCTTCAGCCTGGCCTTCCACTGCCGCGGCCAGTCCTGAGGGAGAATCCGTGGTCCGGCAGCAGGGACGGGGGGGGGCAGCGCCTCACCCTGCCCCATAGCACGTCCTCCTGCCCCATAGCACGTCCTCCTGCCCCCACAGCATACTCACATGGTCCTGCTCGTACTCCAGGATGGCAGCGTACAGCGCTCTCTGCTCCTGCTCCTCGGGGGTGAGGGCCACGCTGCTGGAGAACCTCCTGGGGGTGCCGTGGTCCCCCGGGTGAGGGGGCACGCAGCGAGACCCCCACACCCTCGCAGCCCCTTCCGTGACACCCTCACCTGTTGGCCGCCTCCTGCAGCCGCAGCCGCCGCTCCTCCATTTTCCGCTGCAGCTGGGCCAGGGCAGAGTTAAGGCTCCAGAAGTGAGGAAGCAGCAGCCACAAGCACAGACCGGGTGCATGGGGTGGCGCAGGGGGAGCCCCCTGAGACCCCCACGCTGGCTGAGCGGTGCCATGGAGGCAGCTTGGATGGGCACAGGCTGCACCTCTCCAGCCTCACCCCCCACAAAACAGCCAGGAACGGGGCAAAACTCAGCCCCCAAAGCCTGTCACAGCCCCGGCCCCTGCTCTGAGCTCTCTCCCAGCGGCAAGGATACGGTCTCCTCCCGCGCCTTGGCGATCACCAGGTTCTCCATCATCTGCCGCTGCAGGGACAGCGTCTGCAAAGCGACACTGCGTCGGTGACACCCTGAAAAAAGCCCCCGGGTGAGGGTCCCACCGCCCCCAGCTCCCCGCTTACCAGCGAGGTTTTCTGCACGGCCTGGCTGGGGTTGAGCCGCGCCACCCGCGCCTCGTAGGCAGCCTTCAGCTTCTGGTTCTGCAGCGATGCCTCCTCCAGCGGGGTCAGCTCCCTGCGGGGATCCGGGGCTGGAGGGGCGTCGGGGTGACCCCAAACACGAGCCAGGCTCGGGGCTGCCCCATACGGGCCCCAGCAGTGGTGCTGGGCGAACGCTGCCCCCGCAGCCCCCGCTGCCAGCCCCCCACGCCCCCATCCCCACGCACTTGCGGGCTGCCTGCGCCTCGGCGATCTGCAGCTTCTGGAAGATCTCCGGGGGCAGGAAGGGCGAGAGCTTCCCCCCTTCATCCGAGAAGACCCTGCGGTGCCTGGAGACGGGAGCGGGCCCCCCGCCGCGCTCCTGCGGGGCCGCTTTCGCCTTGCCTTTGCCTGGGGAGGGCAGGAGGGGGCTCAGCCACCCCCGCCACCCCCCCGCTGCCCCCCCCCAGGACCACCAGGCTCACCCAGCGCGGCCGCCAGGGACTTGACCCTCTCCAGGCACTGCTCCGCCAGCTTCAGCATCTTCGGCGTGTCGGGGCCGAGCCCCTCGCCCCCAGCTGCAGACATTGGGGGGGGTTATAGGGCCGCCCCCCCCACCTTTCAGCATCCCCTTTATGGGGAGGGGGGGGCCCAGCAGGGGCTGGGGGTGGGCTACCTGTGAGTGCTTCGTCCTGCAGGGCCTGCGAGATGAGGGCGATGCTCTTCAGGTACTCCACGTAGGCCTCCTGCCACAAAAAACAACGGGGGGGTGGATTTTGGTGCTAAAAAGCCCTTTTTTGGGAAGGGGGGGGTCACACACATGGGGGGGGGGTCACACACACATGGGGGGGTGGATTTTGATGCTAAAAAGCCCTTTTCTGGGGACACACACATGGAGGGGGGGGTCACACACACGAATGGGGTGGGATTTTGATGCTAAAAAGCCCTTTTTTGGGGAGGGGGGATCATACACATGGGGGGGGGTCACACACATGGGGGGGGATTTTGATGCTAAAAAGCCCATTTTTGGGGACACTCACACACACACACATGGAGGGGGGGAGATTTTGATGCTAAAAAGCCCTTTTTTGGGGAGGGGGGGGTCACACACATGGAGGGGGGGGGTCACACACACAGAGAGGGGGGGGGATTTTGATGCTAAAAAGCCCTTTTTTGGGGAGGGGGGGTCACACACATGGGGAGGGGGGGTCACACACACGAAGGGGGTGGGATTTTGATGCTAAAAAGCCCTTTTTTGGGGAGGGGGGGTCACACACATGGAGAGGGGGGTCACACACACGGAGGGGGGGGGGTCACACACACACGGAGGGGGGGTGGGATTTTGACGCTAAAAATCCCATTTTTGGACACACACACACACACATATGGGGGTCCGGATCCTCCCAGCCCCCCCCCAACCCCCCCGTTACGCTTCCCGGTGCTCACCCCCGGCCTCCCCCCGCTGTCCATCTCCAGCGCCCCGCTCGCCGCCCTCATGGCGGCCTGCAGGGCCCTGCCCGGCCCGGCCCCGCCGCCTCCTCCCGCCGCGGCCATGGCGGCCGGAACGCCCGGTACCGGGCAGGGGGGGGGGGAACCTAAACCGGGACGGACCCCACCGGGACCTCCCCGCCGCTGGGGGGCGCTGCGGGCACCGGGAGGGCCCGGGGAGGGGGCCGGGGGGGGCCGGGCGGGGCGCGCCGGGCCCGCGGCGGCGGCGGCGGCGGGGATGAAGCGCGATCGGCGCGGGCGGTTCCTGGCGGCCTCGGCCGAGCCCCGGAGGCGGCCCGGGACTGCGGGGGGGGCGTCCCGGGGGGCTGCGGAGGGAGCGGCGAGGCCCGAACCGGCCGCGGGGTGGGCCCCGGTGGTGGCGGCGGCGGCGGCCCCGGTGGTGGAGGCCTCGGCTTGGGCACGGCCCGGGGGGGCGGCGGAGGAAGGTGAGGCCCTGAGGGGGGGGGGGTGAGGCCTTGGGGTCCCGGTACCGGGGGGGGTTTTGGGGGTCCCGTCCCGTGGTCCCCCCCCGGGGGGGTTGTGGTGGTGGGGATGGGGCCCGGAGGTGCCTTTGTGCCCCGGTGGGGGGGGGTCCCCGTGTGGGGCTCTCCCCCTCCTTGTGGGGGGGTTCCCGGGGGGCAGCAGGCTCAGCCCCCCGTGCCTGAGGCTGGCCTGGAGCTGGGGGGCGGTTTTCAGCCCCCCCAAATGTTTGTGGGTGCTGCTGGGGTGGCCGCAGGGAGCTCCTGGGGGCTGCAGCCCCCCCAGGTGTGGGGCAGGACCCCCAGCACTTTCCATGGGGGAGGCTGGAGCCCGGCTGTGGCCCTGAGGAGGCTGTGGTGAGGCAGAAGCTGTGGGGTGGCAGCGAAACGGCGTGTCCTGGAGGAGGGGGGAGAGCTGGGGGGGCTCAGGCTCGCTGAGGGCTGCGGCTGCTGTCTATAAATACTTTGGAGATAAACGCGGGGCAGGGAGGAGAGGGGCTCTGCTGCAGGATGGTGCTGGGGGAAGCGGGGCTGCACGAGAGCCCCGGGAGGAGCTGGGTCTGCTGCAGCCTCCCCAGGGCGCAGGGCAGGGACATCGGGGGGTTTGAGGGGTGATGCTGCGGAGCCCCTGCTCTGTCAGGGGCTGCCCTGAGTCCTGGAGGAGGTTTCATCCTCCCCGGCCTTTCTGTGCTGGTGCCGAAGCCAGGACCTCGAAGGCAGCCTGCTGACTGAGACTGAGGGATGGGGAAAGTCTTCCCGCGTGCTCTCGGAGCAGGCACGAGCGGTTGTAGCCGACCCTTCTCCCGCAGGAATTGGCAGAGCCCTGAGCACTGGCTACTGTCGCCTCTGCCATGGGAAGTTCTCGTCCAGGAGCCTGCGCAACGCCTTCGGGAAGGTGCCGGTGATGGGGGAGAACTCGGAGAAGCAGCGCCGCGTGGATCAGGTCTTCTTCACGGACTTCCAGCGGCTGGTGGGGGTGGCGGTGCGCCAGGACCCCGCGCTCCCCCAGTTCGTCTGCAAGAAGTGCCATGCCCAGTTCTACAAATGCCGCAGCGTCCTCAGGACCTTCATCCAGAGGGTGAACGCCTCTCCCACGGGCCACGTCAAGTCGAAAGGAAAGTACGTTGAGTTTCTTTGCCCCCGGTAGTTACGGGGAGTTGTAAAGCACCGCGTGCCGCCGCGGTCCCGCTGTAACGCTGCCGCTGCTCTTCTGGCTCTTGCAGGAGCAGCGCTGCCCCGGCCCAGCCTGGCGCGGAGGGAGGTGCCTCCTGTCTGGGTGAGTAGCAGCTCACGGAGCTGCCTCCCTTCTCTTTCTGCAGTTTTGGCGCAGGGGGGTGGTTTTCTGGGGTGTTTGGGGCAGGGCGGTGCCCGTGTCCTTCAGCAGGGCTGTCCCTGCACGCCCCGGGTTGGGTGCTCACCGTTTGGGCGCTCACACTGCCCTGTCCTCCCTCCACCACAAGCTCTCCCCTCGTGTCCCCAGAAGGATCCTCGCTGGCACCAGCATCGTGCTGGAAAGTTTCTGACTTACGTGGGGAGTGCAAAGAGCGGGTTTGGGGGCAGCACCAGCCTGACCCAGTGGCTCGGGAGCGGGTCCGCAGCCACTGACCCTGCGCCTGCTGCTTCTCCCCGCAGTCGACCTGATCACGTCCAGCCCGCAGTGCCTGCACAGCCTGGTGACGTGGGCGCACGCGCACGCCGGGGGCTGCCAGTCGGTGCCGAGCCTGCAGAGCGTGCTGTCCTCCGAGTACTGCGGGATCATCCGCGCCGTCTGGGGCTGCGGGGACGGCCACGACTACGTCATGGACACGGATTCCGACTGCAGCACGGTGCTCGTCGACAACGCCTTGTCTGTCAAACGGGAGTGGAGCAAGGGCACGGCGCAGCGTCTGACTGACAACGGGGCAGGGGCAGACAATGCCGAGGCTGTTCCTGCTCCCAAAGCCCAGCATGCTCCAGTAAGGACGACTCCTTGCCAGCAGCCCGCAAACAAAGGGACCACATCAGTGCCACCGAACGCGGAGAATGAGCCGCCGCAGAACAGGGATTCATCTCACCCACAACTGGACAGCACGGCCTCGGTACAGGAGAAAGCCCTGCCCCAGCCCGTGTCACCGCCGAGCAGTGCCACAGGTAAGGGATTTGCCTTCTGGTCTTCTCCCGAGCTTCTGGGGAAGGCTGAGGTCTGAAGAGCTGCCCCAGGGAGCGGTGTTGGGGCTGGGCTGCCCTCCTCGGGGACAGCCGCTCCTCAGGGGGACTTGGATCCCACTGGGAAGTGCAGGTTGCCTGGGAAATTGCTTCTGGTCTCAGACAGCAAAATTTGCAGAGGGAAGGGGGAGCGCGGGGCTTCGGCTGGCCGCGTTGTCCTGCAGCCAGAGCCGTCCCTTGTTCCCCTCTGATGGAAGGGACAGACTTGGCTGTTCCTCAGCTGGCCCTGCCCTCACCCAGGGACGTGAGCAGTGCAGAGCAGCCACTGGTTCTGACCATCTGCCAGGTGTTGGTTTCTGATCAGTCCTAACCCCGCCACATGTTGGCAGTGGGGTGTGACCCCCCCCAGCTGCGGCTGCAGGGCGATGCCGAGCAGAAGGAGCCCCTGTTGGCGCTCCCCTCTCCCCGAAAACTTGGGCCTCAGGCTAATCCCGAGTTCCAGAAGTCGAGATGTGTTTATCTCTAACAGCCACGTGAGACGTCTGCTGCTGGGAAGGGAGAAGGCAGTTGTGACTCACTGGGGAATCTGCCGGGTACAGAGCGGTTGTCACTGGGGAAACCGAAAGATGCTCGTGGCAGCTGCAGGGTGAGGGCTCTCCCAGTCCCTGGGGCGCAGGCAGAGTGCTGCTCCTGGAGCACGCGAGGCATGGAGTTTGGCTTAAATAATCATTAACTTGTCGTGGAGCACTTTTTTTTTTTTTTTTCTTCCCTCCAGTATGAGCCACCATGAGTGAAGTCAGAGTGCCTTCCCGGCAGCTGTCTCTGCTGGCTTGTTCTCACTGCTTTTCCTAGTAACGCACCTTGTTCTCCTTCATTTCCTAGGACAGTTGAGTGGGAAGCAGGTTCTGTCTCCAACGTCGGATGAGCGGGTAAAAGACGAGTTCAGTGACCTTTCTGAGGGGTGAGAGAAGAGTGGGTTTAAACTAGCCTTAATGTCTTCTTTGCGAGTATGAAATGGGAGGCCTCGGAGAGCTCTTTCTCCACGAGAGACCCGGTCCCCGGAGGCTCTGGGGGCTGGCAGCCGAGGCGCAGAGCGGTTTCTCCGCGGTGGCAGCGCTCAGCTCCCTCCCTCGGCCGCAGCAGGGTGTTTGTACATCAGCGTGCGTGTGTGTGTTCTGTTTGGTTGCCCCCAGCAGACCTGGCCGTGCTCTGCGCCAGCCCCTGCGCCCTGGGAAAGCAGCCGCGCGGTTCTGCGTGGGGCAGGAGGCTGCTGGTGGCTCCGTGTTGCTCCCACGCCGCTCCCCTCCGCAGCTCGGGGCAGCGGGGTGTGGGTGCACGGCCCTGAGCTCGCAGGCAGTAAGGTGGGACCCCAAGAAATTGTCCCCCGTGGGAGCGTTTGAGCAGAAGTTTGAGGGGGAGCAGGACAGCGGCAGCCTGGCGGGTTTTGTGCTCAAAGGTTTGGCCGAGTTCTCCAAACCCCGGAGTGAAGTGAGGCTGGTGCACGGCTGGTGATTGAGTGTAGGTGCTGAACGGCCGAGTGTGAGCTTAGTGCAGCCTGGCAGGTAAACGTGTCCCACTGAAAGCACCCCAAGAACTTACTGCCTACACCCTGGCTATGGAGGGAATTGCCTCTTGTATAGCGTAGGGTTTAAAAAAACAACAAAACAAAAAAAAATGTGGCTGCTACATATGAGGAAGCACTGAATGACCTTAACTAACCTGTGCCAGACCATTACATCACATTCTTGCTCTATAAAATTACTTTTCCGAGTATAGGAACTGGTTACAACATCGGATCTGGTCAGTAACAGCCATTTTTTGTACTCCTGACGGTGGTTCAGTTAATCTTACACAGATCTAACCCTAAAAGGAGCCGATTTTGCTATTTGCTGTGTTCACCGAGGCTTTATTTGCTTTGGGAGATTGCGGGGGAGGAGAACACGCGGAGCTTCGGTTCCTGCGCTGTTCTGTGGGGGAGATGAACGTGCTGGGAGCAGAGAACGCGTGTGGCTGCTGGTGCATCAACCGTGTCCTGTGTCGGTAAAGGGCATCTTCTCTCTCTCTCAGAGACTTCTTGAGTGATGATGAGAACGAGAAGAGAAACGTGCAATCTTCAGATGACTCCTTCGAGCCTTACCCCGAGAAGAAGTAAGGGGCTTTCCCCCTCCGGCAGCGCGCTGTGCTTGGCGGGGGGCTGTGGCTGAGCAGGGCTGGTGCCAGGGCAGGACCCAGCTGGGTGGATGAGCTTTGTTTTCCTGCCTGGCCTCAGTGCTCCCACATCCCTGCCTTCCTGCCCCCGAGGGACCCGTTAACGCCTGGAACGTGCGTTCCCCAGGCTGCCCATCATGTTAAAGTACAGCCGTGTTCCTCTTCCCCAGGCCCTGCAGTAAATGCAGCAGCTCGGCTCACGTGTATTTATTCGATGGCACGTGTGCTCCTGTGTAGCCTGGGCTTTGCCAGGTCAGGCATCAGGCTAAGCCTTCAGGCC